CAGAAATAGTCCTAATTTTATGATGGTTCCTTAATATATTTTAACTACATTGCATTTGAGTATGGAGAGGCAACTATCTGGAAGTATTTTACATAAAAAATTTACTAAGTATTGCCCGGTTTGTAGTTGCAGTTAAAGAAAACACATGAAAAGGCACGATTTTTTTTTAAATTCGAAAATATGTAAATATTTCAAAAACGGTGACACTTTTACCTGAGAATTTTTTGTTTATCAGGGAATGAATTACATATGTATTTATGTATCTACATGGTTAAAAATTGTTTGTTTATTTGAAATATTTACATAATTAGAAAATACAATACATTAATATATTTCTGAAAAAACTATATTTGTAGTAGTAAAACCTTCATTATTTGGTAAAATTTTCTGAAAATCATTTTCTTCTATAAAGATTTTGACGCCTTCGAAAGATCTAGTACGACTTAGAGCAACATATAACTGGCCGTGCGTGAAAATGGGGATGGGCAGATATACTGCTACTTTATTCAATGATTGCCCTTGACTTTTGTTTATTGTCATAGCGAATGCAAGCGATATTGGAAGAAATGTTTCTGAAGGGCTGAGCTTAATTTTCGGAATGACAATTCTCTTACCGGTGCCGGTAAGAATTATGCAATCGATTGAATTATTATGAAGATTAATAATTTTAATCGAGTGCCATTAATCAAACCTTTCGCTGTATTCAGATTTCTCATTAGCATTACGATGGCGTCGTTTTTCAGCTTAAGGTTGTGTCTCGGAAGACCACTCACCTCAAAACTATTGAGATACTCCGTAGGAAAATTTATTTGCGCATCCACTTCATCTGAAATAATTGTATCAATGCTTTTATATGTACGTTCTAAATTTGGTAATCGCTCAAGTACCGACAAATTGATTTTTGCACATATTTCATTTGTTGGAGCAAGAATTGCTTTTCCTTGTATGGCTTATGTCACTTAGTAAATTTTCGTAAATAAAATCAACTGGTGAGCCGTGACCTAAAAGACGCGGATAAAGAATTGATTGTCCGGTTGCATCCTTAGGTAACTGATCATTACCAACTTGGAGCAAGTAACTTGCAAACTCGTGTTCGCCTTCGTTAACTCGCATATTTTTTTCGAGTTGTAAGGTAGTTACCTGAGACCACAAAGCATGGCTTTTAATGCAGTGTTCTATTGTCACAGCGCGGCCTGAATGTGGCACAACTGGGAGGGTTTGTCTAAAATCTCCAGACAATACAACCACTTTTCCCGCAAAAAAAGATTTCGATTTTCTTCTCTCCTAGTAATATCTCGAAACATACGATCTATGACAGTTAGAGTACAGCGGGTATCAATCTCGCTTCATCAATGATTATAAGTTTCGCGCCATCGAGGTATCTGCCGTGCGAAGAATTAGGCTTCACACCTGATACAGACGTCTCCAGTAGAGGTATAGGAAGTTTGAATTGATTGTGCAAGGTACGTCCTCCTTCCACTAAGCTTGCCGCAATACCAGTAAACGCTACAGGGATAGCTGTTTGACCTTCGCTCGCTACCTTTGCAAGTAAGGCTTTTTGGATGAATGTTTTTCCGCAGCCTGCCGGTGCATCAAGGTAAAATACGTTGCCACGATTTTCGCTTCTATGAAGCGCACTCAAAACTCTATCAATTACGAAATTCTGCTCATTTGTGGCTTTGTTGTACATTTCATCAAAGTCGATTTTATATGGCCCTGCATTCATGTTCAATTGTCTTGCGTAGTTATTCCGAACTGGCTTTGGAAGCCCGAGCTCTTCACGGCAGGTATTATGCGTTGTTAGTATTTCATCTATTTCCAGTAAAGCAGCATTTATAGCGTCGTCCTCGGAAAGACCTTGATAAATAAAATCTTCCACAAAGTTTTCTTTAAAATGGTGCCACAAATCCACCGATTCGGAAGGAACATTTACCCCTAACAATATGGCGAACTGTTCACGTATTTGACGTGGAGAATAAAAGAGGGCCGCTTCTTCTAAAGTATCAAAATAATGAGTTGAACTTGATGCAATGCCAAGAGCAATAGCGGCTTCTCTAAATGTTGCATATACATGGCCATCCACAGTTCGCGATTCTCTGAAGTCTTTCGCTCCTTTTACATGAAGAAGTAAAAGTAGAGCTCTGGATCTTTAGCAGAAACAGCATTTAATCGCGTAACAATTTTATTTGAACCTCCTTGACGATCTTTCCAAGACTTCGTTTGTGGATGCCATATGTAGTGGTAAGGTATATCGATATAACGATATTCCCTAGCCTCAACCGTTTGTCTATTTAGTTTAAACCAAGCCATGAGTTTAGAATCGCTTTGATTCAAAACGCGCTCTTCTTCACCGACCCTAAATGTTATACGTTGTAAATTTTCAAGATGGAATTCGAGAGGAATAACTGTGTGTGATTGAAAATGCATTTCGTACTCAAAAATACGCCATACTGCCTCAGCAGAGCCAACCCATCTAGCAGTAAGATATCCCACAATTTCGTCGTAATTAAGAGCACCTTCATTCTGAAACATAACTGAAGCTGAATCGAAACCTTTGTAAATGTACTTGTAGATATATTTAATGCTTTTTACTGTCGTACAAACTTCAACGTTAATATGTGCTTGGTACTTTCGAAGCAAATATTTGTTGTATGGGACTACAAATCTGTTGTCAACGGATACGCCATTTTTTTCTACACAGATT